TGTTCTATTTTAGGCTGATAGAGGCATATCTAACAAGCTCTGACACATAACTTCCTTGAAGACTGTCTCCCTTTTCTTTCTGAGTCTTCTCGAACCATAGTCGTACATCGAGGTTTTTAATCTCCTGTATTACAACACCTTTGTCCATTAATGCAGATTATTTATGGTTAACGAACACATTTTTTGGTGGATCAACACTTCTTTTGAATGATGCAGATGATGTAAATAAAATAAAAGAGAGGAAAAAATGAAAAGAGTTAGTAAGGTAAAGATAATAATCAAAGCAATCATGAAAATAAAAGTCCTACCCCATATGATATTTACCCCACATGCTTATTATTCCTACCCGGACATGATCTCTATCCCGCAAGTTGATTTTGAACAAGTCTTAACCGCATAAATTTCTAGTTGACATATTTTGAACAGAAAGTAAAACAGAAAATAATTTCGGCATCCTAGGGTTTAGAACGAGGTTTTGGGGTGGGCCCTAACTCCTTGTAGTCTCCGGGTTTAGGTTCTAAAAAAAGGTACTCAAGTTCTCCTTGTCGGTGCCCCATTGGCTTGCCAGACCCTTAGTCGTAAACACATCATAATGGACTAAGTTAAGCTCGAGAGGACACATTCTCTTATGCCCGCACGGTGAATAAATTCACACGAAGACATAAGGTATATGAATCCCGAAGGCTACTTGCTAGGCCCGCACGGTGAATAAATTCACACAAAGGTGTCGTTTTCACCCCCACTTAAAATAGGGTTTGGAGCTCGGGTATAGAGCCTTAGATGAAAAAAAAACTTTGAAGGCTGAAATCATGAGAAAACGATTAGTCCAACTATTTACTCGAAAATATAATCAAAAGTAATTAAAAATGATCGAAATATTACCTTAAAATTTAAACTTACCCTTTTCGTTAAAAAGACAACTGGAAATTACCTTAGCCTGACTCACTTACCTGTGTCCCCAGCGGAGTCGCCAAACTGTCGCAACCGTCTTTCGGTTATGCCTTGGAATTGGGCTTCGACTTGAAAAATGTGAATTGGGAGTCACCACCGATCATTTACTTTACGAAAAGTGGGTTGATCGGATACCTTATTTCTTACCTGATCTGCGTCTTACCAGTGATATGTCGGATCCGGAAGTCGGTTACGGTCAAGGAAGGATTAGCACCCTTTAACCGCCCTTTCGGTACTATGTAATTTCCAGTTGTCTCTAATTAAGAAAGTTGAAAGTTTAAATTGAAAGGTAAAATAACGATCCAAAACTTACATTTGATTGATTGAAAATGTACCCTTAAGAAAGTAAAAAAGTCATGTTAGATAAAATAGTAAGAAATTAATTAATTAAATTAAAATGAAAAGAAAACAAATTAAGTAAAATGATAAAATGAAGAAAGCAAAAATAAAATAGTAAGTAAAAAAAACAAATAATAAAATATATTAAAAAGAAAAAGAAAAAGAAAATAAATAAAACAAATAAACAAAATAATAATAACAAAGTACGAATAATATATATATAATAAATAAAAAAGTAAATATATAAATTAATAAATTAAATGATGAAAAGAACATATACACATATAATGGTAAAAAATAAAGATAATTACAATATATATATATATATATATATATATATATAGTAACAATACTAATAATGATAATAAGTAGTTAAAAAAGACAATCACACCGAAAAGGAAGAAAGAAAGTAAGGTTTGGTGAAGTATAATTGATAGGAAGAAAAAAATGATGAGGGGTGGGGACAAAGTAGGTAGATATAATTAACTTGTGTATATATATATATATAATAGTAAAATGTATATAACAACATAATATCAATAAAAAAAGAAAAAAATATATAATGATAATAAAAATATAGAAAATTAATAGAAAAATATATGTATAATATTATAAAATATAGAACTAAAAATAAAAAAACCAAATATATATTAATAATAGGTATAAAAACTAAAATATTTAAAAAGAACATACGCATATATATATAACAAAATAAATAATATAAAAATAATACAAGTAATAAAGAATAATAAAAAGAAAGAGAAAATAAAAAATATAATAATAATAAAATATAAAAAATAAACATATATAATATAAATAAGTAGAATAAAAGGAAAATATAATAGTAAAAATAATAATAAATATAATAGTAATAATAAAAATGCAAAGAAAATAAATATATATATGGGTAATAACGTATATAAATAGAGAAAAATTAAAAAAGTGATAAATTAAAAATAAAATTAGCAAGTATTTATATATATATATATAAAAAACTAATTACGGGATTAAAATGAAAGGAATGTAAATTAAGTGGGTAAATGTCAAAGAACATTGAAGATTAAAACCGACAAAAATTAAAAAAAAATCATTTTTTGATAGATTTTCGTACTCTCATTCTAAAAATGTAATTTGTTTTTGCGAAATAGCCTCTAGGGAGCGTAGATCTGAAATCAAAGTTTCGAAAAAACTCCCTCTGGGTCATCGACTAAAACATTTGTCTTTGGGGTCTCCAAAGAAAACACGATTAACAACGCATGCAAGTGAAGAGTAAAGAGAAACAAACAAAAGATAAAAAAAGGTTTCACCTTTATTACTTCGAATCGTTTACAATAGCTTTGCCTTTGTATTTTCCGTGTTTTCCTCTGTATTTTGTCTGTAAATCGTGTGTTACAATAGTGAGTTATAATGGCTATTTATAGTGCTTGTGGATCCTATCTTTAGGAGTTTAAATCATAGTAGAACTCTATCATATTTTTAGGAGTTTGAATCCTAGCAAAATTCTATCATATTTTTAGGAATTTAAATCCTAGTAGGATGAAAAGGTGTGTTGACAGCTGCCCCTCTTTGCCCATAGTCGTGTAACGGGGATAGGGTAAAGATTAAAAGACACACTTTTCGTTCGGTGGAGTTGAAAATTGACTATGATGTTTCAATAACTCCCTGTCGAATTGAGTTACGGATGACTCCTCCGTCCTGAAGCCGAGTTCATCTTGAAATGATATGAAATTGAAGCCATAGTTCGGAATTTGAATCAGCACGTGGCTTCTCGTTGCCCTTCGGTCTTCTTCTCGGTTTAAAGACCTTGGATCGGAATCGAACTCAGAAATCTTCATTGACAGATAGTTTTTGCTTGAAAATGGTTGATTGTCACTAAAGCACGGTTAACCCAGGTCCTCTTCTCGACTTGAAAACCTCGACTGCAACCAGAAAGTAGTGCGATTGATGTGTCATCGAGCTGAATGGAATCGAACTCGACAATTTTGATGGATGATAACTCTTCTAGCCTTGAGTTATGCTGTAAATGATGTGTCTTGGAGCTGAACGTAGTCGAACTCGAAGGTCTTTGTTGACAGATACTCCTTCTTTGAGTTGGATATCCTTCGTCGTGAAGTTAAAATCCAATCTAAAGATGGATGATGCTTGTGTGCATGATTCCCTTCGTCGTGAAGTTGAAACCGCGGGTGGCCCCTTCGTCGTAAAGTTGAGCCTGAAATTGGATATCCTTCATCGTGAAGTTGAAATCCAAGTAAGTAGTATTGTTCTGAGTCCAATATCCTCCGTCGTGAAGTTGAAATTGGCTCTGGAACCGTGAAATTATTTGTTGACAACCAGCCGTCCCTACGTTGTGAAGTTGAACTTGTGTTGTCCTGAGTCCAATATCCTTCGTTGTGAAGTTAAAATTGACTCTGAATGAAATTTTGTTGACAATCAGCCGCCCTTTCGTCGTGAAGTTGAGCTTGTGTTATCTTGGGTCCAAGATCCTTCGCTGAGAAGTTGAAATTGGCTCTGAAATTGGGAAGTTGTTTATTGACAACCAGCGGTCCCTTCGTCGTGAAGTTGAACTTGCGTTGTCTTGAGTCCAATATCCTACGCTGTGAAGTTGAAATTGGCTCTGAAATTGGGAAATTGTTTATTGACAACCAGCGGTCCCTTCGTCGTGAAGTTGAACTTGCGTTGTCTGGAGTCCAATATCCTTCGTTGTGAAGTTGAAATTGGCTCTAAAATTGAGAAGTTGTTTGTTGACAACCAGCGGTCCCTTCGTCGTGAAGTTGAACTTGCGTTGTCTGGAGTCCAATATCCTTCGCTGTGAAGTTGAAATTGGCTCTGAAATTGGGAAGTTATTTATGGACAACCAGTGGTCCCTTCGTTCTGAAGTTGAACTTGCGTTGTCTTGAGTCCAATATTCTTCGCTGTGAAGTTGAAATTGGCTCTGAAATTGGGAAATTGTTTGTTGACAACCAGCGGTCCCTTCGTCGTGAAGTTGAACTTGCGTTGTTTGGAGTCCAATATCCTTCGTTGTGAAGTTAAAATATACTTTGAAATTGAGAAGTTGTTTGTTGACAACCAGCAGTCCCTTCGTCGTGAAGTTGAACTTGCGTTGTCTGGAGTCCAATATCCTTCGTTGTGAAGTTAAAATTGGCTCTGAAATTGAGAAGTTGTTTGTTGACAACCAGCGGTCCCTTCGTTGTGAAGTTGAACTTGCGTTGTCTGGAGTCCAATATCCTTCGCTGTGAAGTTGAAATTTACTCTCGAGCAAATTGTGAGTTCGAGAGAAACTTTCAATCTGTCGAGTTGGTCAAAGTGTAGCTTCTTGCTGCTGAGTTAAGCAACCAACATGAATCTTTAAAGGTCCTTTTGAATCGAGTATCCTTCATCTTGAAGTCGAAACTTGACTCTAAAAGCTGCAAAAAATTATGTATATGAAAAATGATAAATATGATGCTCTAAAATGTATGCATAAGATGCATGTAACATGAATTGATTATATTTTATCTCCTGAAAAAGGTCTGATAATTTCATTAGGATGTTGAATCCCCAAATGATGCTCCAATATCCAAAAATCCCAATATTTGATGTTGAATCTTCAAAGATGCCCTAAATGTTCCTCATTTCTTGCTTCAGCATTGATTCTGAGCATGAGTTTTGTGTCTAAAAGTCACATGTCATTTACCAAGATCCACTCTAGAGAGACTGTCTTGTTTGAAAAAATATTTTTCTTTCTCTTTTATTTTCAAAGTTATGAAAATATCAATTAAAAGAGTTTTGAAAAATGTTTGATCCAAAGTTTTGAAAATATTGTCACTTTCACGGTTTTACAATTGAGACGAATCATAAACTAGAGTTCATCGGATATCATAGAATTAATTATATTATTAATCCTTTAATGAATTATAGCTATTTGACAAGTGCCAAGATCAAAGCTATTTTGGGAAGTGGTTAAGTAAGGAAAGGATAAAAAAATCTCAGGTTATTATGTTTGGTCAAAGGTTTGGCATTTGATGCTCAAAGGCTTGGCATTTGATGCTCATAGGTTTGGCATTTGATGCTCAACGGTTTGATGGGGTAGCTTGCATGCTCATCTACTGGAAATGTTCTCCAACTCCCAGCTTTCATGGTCACATTTGGATTGTGCGATGCCTTATCAAGGAATTTGTGATCGCCTCAGTTGCATAATTTTTAAATTCGAGCTGCCTTTTCAGGTTTTCAACTCGAATCCTCCTTTGGTTTCAAGATGTTATTCAGGATTTACATCTTGAACCCCCATTTGTTATTTTTCTCTACCATGCATTAATTATATTGTTTTTTGCAAACAAAGATTAATCCTGATGGGCGGGATGAAATCTGAATATAGTCTATTCTGTTTAGAAATCCATGTATGATTAGAAGGGACTTTTAAGGCACGTAATGTAGGTCAGGGTTTATGGTTATGAAAGAAAAGGATAAATAGGCCCAAACAAGTGTTTCAGGGTGTTGAACCAAGGATCAATTCATTCTGATGATTTCAGTCATGTCTTGCTCAAAATGTCCCTTTCTTAATGCTCTATGATCTTCGAGTAAAGTGATTCAGTGATTCGGGAATGTTTGTGCTTGATCAATCTCATAGTTTGAAGCTTGATGTGCCATTTGTCTTTAGGGAATCTTTGCATGTGCTTTTTTGTCCCCTTTTCTTTTTGATTTTTGTTCTTTCTTTTTTTGTTTTCTTCTTTTTAGCTTCTTTTCCTTTTTTATTTTTGCCCTTTTTGTTCTGATTGAATCTTTGCACTTGGCATTTGGTTCACCTTTTGGTATCTCATCTGAATCAATGTCTTCGCTCATGTGAGCATATTTCTTCCACCTTGCCCCCCAGTATGGAGGGTGATCCTTGGTTAGGGTTGAATCAGAAGAAAAATACTACAGACTCAAAAGGGGACACAAGGGATATATTTTTCTCCTGTTGTGAAGGGATAAAGAAAGAAAGCCGTTCATCATTTCATACATGTAAATCTTCACAGAAGAGGTATCCCCAGGGGGATAGATTTTCAAGATTAATTCTATTCACATGAAAACAGTGTAATTAATATATGATAGAATTATTTCGAATAAATTCTTCTTTTTTCCCAGATGTCTCAATGTTCAGGCTCCCCGCGAGATGCCCTAAGTTGGTTCTTTAGAAGAATGCTCATGTTAAAATGAACAACTCAATGCCTTGGGTTTTAATGGTAAGAAAGGTTATTTTTGAGTCTAAAAAAGACAGTGGTGTGATCTTATTGACTCAAAGAAAGGTATGAGTGTATCAAAAAGATAAAGGCAATGTTCAAGAATTTCAAAAGGAGGTAATGTCAAAATTTCGTCTTTTGGTAATGACCACGAGTTGTTTGGGCAAAGAATCAAGGTATTATTATGGGGTTTGAGACATGGTAAGAAGGTCTAATCTTTCCATATGTAAAAAATCTATAATTCTTGAAGAATTAAAAGAATCATTAATTCATTTAATATTCGAAGAACTAAAGATTAAAATTTGTTCAATTGCTCCACCTTAGAAAGAAGCATAAATTCAATCATTTAAAAGATTAAGCAAACATGAAAGATCAAAGACGTGTTCAAACAAAACAATCCTCTAAGTGCAAATGGTATATGCCATGCCCCCTTCTTCGGCAAGCGTCTTACAGTTTTCAGAGGAATGTTTGGGGATTCTTATGTGGTAACAACTAACAGTTTCAACATCGTAGCTCTTAGGATATGGGGATTCTTTTCTTAGATCATCCTGGCAGGCTTTGTCCTACAATCAACTGATCAGGCTCCCACTGTATTGTTTTTAATTTTTTCTTTTGATGTTACAATCTTGCTTCCATTTGGTGTCATGTGGTTAAAACCACTTCATCGAATCCTCCATGAAGAAATTTCATGTTTATGAAAAAAATGAAATGTAGATGCACAACGCAAAATGAAAAAAAAATGCATGAAATGTTCGAGGCATTGATCCAGAAAAATGTCCATTATTATAAATAATCCTTATTTTGACAAAAATGTTTTATCTTGTAAGAGACATAAAAACAATCAAATGTATATTCGGACTAAATCCTCTAGACCCCGAACAACTTCCAGCAGATTGACAAGTCTTCTGTTTTCATCTGTCACTGGTTATATGCCTTGTCGAACCACTCTAGCTTCCCTTGTCAGGCCATGTAGATGGCGAGCTGCCTTCTGTACTTGATCCAAGAATTCTCGGATGACTGCGTCTCTGGCCTTCACCCTTTGTTGTGCTTGCTCCCAACGGAAACGCCACTGCAAACCCCCGTCGAAAGGCATTATCTGAAGCTCGCTCGCTTGCTTTTTGAATCCATCTACAATAGCTTCTAACTCAGCTATTGTTTTACCATCTCTCTCATGTTGTTTCTCCAGATCAACCATTTGGATTCTCAGACGTAGGTTTTGATGCTGACTGTCTACCAAGCGCCTCTGGGCAGTCTTCATCTGTTCCTTCCAAGTTCTCTCATCAGGCCCCTCGAATTTTCTTTTCAGGCTATGGGCTTCATCTTTCCAGTACTTAGAGGACACTTTCAACTTGGAGTTATCCTTGACAGCATCTTGATACCTCTTTCTCAAATCTTCGAGCTCAAAACAGTCTCTTTTATGCTTTCTTTCCAGTTTATCTGCTCGATCTTTCTGAGAGTCGGCATCTAGATTCCACTGATAGCGCTCGGCTTTAAGTTCTCTGACCTTCTTCTTTAACTCATTTTTTACAGCTTCAAACTCCGCCTTAGCTATCTCAAGTTCAGAAGGGACATGCCTGAGATGCTCCTTCATGGTCCGTGTGTCCTCACAGTCTGGCACCGGGATGTTATCATTCTTTCTCAATCTTTGTCATTCCACATAATCCGGAGTGAGCATATCTCTAGCAGCCACAACATCTATCCAGGATACTTTCTTCCATGACTAGTCTATCTCTTTGATCTTCTTCTTATACTGTCACCGTGATACACAAACTCTGATGTAGATAATATGTATGTTGCTGGGACAAACTGACGTGCCACATACTATCTAAGTGTCAACAACGGAGCATACACAACTACACCCCAAAGTCGAAGTATGGTCATAGTGTCAAAATCCCCAAATCAAAAAAGAACATCACTGAGGAACAACCAGGGGCTCTCCAAGTAATATCCCGATCCTGAAGATGTGTGAAGACCTTCATCCATTTTTCCGTCGAAGCGCCTTCAAGCCATTTCATGGTGATGAACTCTCTCAAAGGTGAATACGTAGTGCTAAATCGGTGGTAGGCAACCCCATTAGTTTTCCAGAAGTGGCTGTGAATCCAGACTTAAAGGAGCTGAACACATCCAATGAATCTACCTCCGCCAGCTCTTCGACAATGGTTGAGAGACCGAAAGGTCTTGGCTAAGATGGTTGGTGCTGGGTTGACTCGTTTCGGAAGTTGCTCAATCAGTTCTACCACGACTGCGTCAATGCATCCCAAAATCTTCGGAAATATAATCAAGCCATACAGACCTAGTGCAAAAAAGGTCTATAGTCTTCCATTCATCAGGGTGGTCATTCATTAGTTTCCTTATGTGGATCCACTCAATTCCTTACCCGTTACCTTTGTTTCGGAGTCGGTCAGTCACCCACTTTTCATCAACCCTTGTAATCTTAGCCAGTGTGTTCTTGAAAGGCTGACTCTTGATGTGTTTGATGTAGGCTCTCTCCAGTTTAATGCTTTCACAGTGCAATAGTGTAGTATACTCCTCGATGGTAAGTACCATGTCCCCTTTGTTAAAAGTGAAGCAAATGTATCCCGGGTTCTAGAATTAAACCAAGGCTCTGATTAAGGGCTCACCGGTCTTAACATGAAGCAAAAGTGCAATGTCACCAATACTGCTGACTGAACTTCTTTTTTTGATCATTCTTCCAACTGTCCCAGATGTCTCGAAGTTCTTGCACATTGTTCTATTTTAGGCTGATAGAGGCATAGCTAACAAGCTCTAACACATAACTTCCTTGAAGATTGTCTCCCTTTTCTTTCTGAGTCTTCTCGGACCATAGTCGTACCTCGGGGTTTTTAATCTCCTGTATTACAACACCTTTGTCCATTAATGCAGATTATTTATGGTTAATGAACACGTTTTTTTGTGGATCAACACCTCTTTTGAATGATGCAGATGATGTAAATAAAATAAAAGAGAGGAAAAAAATGAAAAGAGTTAGTAAGGTAAAGATAATAATCAAAGCAATCATGAAAATAAAAGTCCTACCCCACATGATATTTACCCCACATGCTTATTATTCCTACCCGGACATGATCTCTATCCCGCAAGTTGATTTTGAACAAGTCCTAACCGCATAAATTTCTAGTTCACATGTTTTGAACAGAAAGTAAAACAGAAAATAATTTTGGCATCCTAGGGTTTAGAACGAGGTTTTGGGGTGGGCCCTAACTCCTTGTAGTCTCCGGGTTTAGGTTCTAAAAAAAGGTACTCGAGTTCTCCTTGCCGGTGCCCCCTTGGGCTTGCCAGACCCTTAGTCCTAAACCCATCACAGGCTTGTGTGGACTAAGTTAAACTCGAGAGGACACATTCTCTTATGCCCGCACGGTGAATAAATTCACACGAAGACATAAGGTATATGAATCCCGAAGGCTACTTGCTAGGCCCGCACGGTGAATAAATTCACACGAAGGCATCGCTTTCACCCCTACTTAAAACAGGGTTTGGAGCTTAGGTATAGAGCCTTAGATGAAAAAAAAAACTTTAAAGGCTGAAATCTTGAGAAAACGATTAATCCAACTATTTACTCGAAAATATAATCAAAAGTAATTAAAAAGGATCAAAATATTACCTTAAAATTTAAACTTACCCTTTTCCTTAAAAAGACAACTGGAAATTACCTTAGTCTGACTCACTTACCTGTGTCCCCAACGGAGTCGCCAAGCTGTCGCAACCGTCTTTCGGTTGTGCCCCAGAATTGGGCTTCGACTTGAAAAATGTGAATTGAGAGTCGTCACCGATCATTTACTTTACGAAAAGTAGGTTGATCGGATACCTTATTTCTTACCTGATCTGCATCTTACCAGTGATATGTCGGATCCGGGAGTCGGTTACGGTCAAGGAAGGATTAGCACCCTTGAACCGCCCTTTCGGTACTATGTAATTTCCAGTTGTCTTTAATTAAGAAAGTTGAAAGTTTAAATTGAAAGGTAAAATAACGATCCAAAACTTACATTTGATTGATTGAAAATGTACCCTTAAGAAAGTAAAAAAGTCATGTAAGATAAATGGTAAGAAATTAATTAATTAAATTAAAATAAAAAGAAAACAAAATAAGTAAAATGATAAAATGAAGAAAGCAAAGATAAAATAGTAAGTAAAAAAACAAATAATAAAATATATTTTAAAAAGAAAAAGAAAAAGAAAAAGAAAATAAATAAAACAAATAAACAAAATAATAATAACAAAGTACGAATAATATATATATATATATATATATATATATAATAAATAAATAAAAAGTAAATATATATAAATTAATAAATTAAATGACGAAAAGAACATATACACATATAATGGTAAAAAATAAAGATAATTACAATATATATATATTATATAATAACAATACTAATAATGATAATAAGTAGTTAAAAAAAGACAATCACACCGAAAAGGGAAGAAAAGAAAGTAAGGTTTGGTGAAGTATAATTGACATGAAGAAAAAAATGATGAGAGGTGGGGACAAAGTAGGTAGATATAATTAACTTGTGTAGAATATATATATATATATATATATATATATATATATATATAATAATAGTAAAATGTATATATAACAACATAATATCAATAAAAAAAGAAAATAAATATAATATAATGATAATAAAGAATATAAAAAATTAATAGAAAAATATATGTATAATATTATAAAATAGCACTAAAAATAAAAAAACCAAATATATATTAATAATAGGTATAAAAACTAAAATATTTAAAAAGAACATACGCATATATATATAACAAAATAAATAATATAAAAATAATACAAGTAATAATACAAGAATAATAAAAAGAAAGAGAAAATAAAAAATATAATAATAATAAAATATAAAATATACATATATATATAATAAGTAGAATAAAAGGAAAATATAATAGTAAAATATAATAAATATAATAGTAATAATAAAAATGCAAAGAAAATAAATATATATATATGGGTAATAACGTATATAAATAGAGAAAATTAAAAAAGTGATAAATTAAAAATAAAATTAGCAAGTATATATATATATATATATATATATATATATATATATATATATATATATATATATATATATACTAATTACGGGATTAAAATGAAAGGAATGTAAATTAAGTGGGTAAATGTCAAAGAACATTGAAGATTAAAACCGACAAAAATAAAAAAAATCATTTTTTGATAGATTTTCGTACTCTCATTCTAAAAATGTAATTTGTTTTTACGAAATAGCCTCTAGGGAGCGTAGATCTGAAATCAAAGTTTCGAAAAAACTTCCTCTGGGTCATCGGCTAAAACATTTGTCTTTGGGGTTCTCCAAATAAAACACAATTAACAACACATGCAAGTGAAGAGTAAAGAGAAACAAACGAAAGATAAAAAAAGTTTTCACCTTTATTACTTCGAATCGTTTACAATAGCTTTGTCTTTGTATTTTTCGTGTTTTCCTCTGTATTTTGTCTGTAAATCGTGTGTTACAATAGTGAGTTACAATGGCTATTTATAGTGCTTGTGGATCCTATCTTTAGGAGTTTAAATCATAGTAGAACTCTATCATACTTTTAGGATTTTAAATCTTAGCAAAATTTGAATCCTAGTAGGACGAAAAGGTGTGTTGCAATACTGAAAAGACTACCTAAATAAACTAGGCATGTGAGCAACCTCCTTCATTCTACGCCTTTGTTTATTTTTTTGGTTGAATCTGTCATTAAAAGACTGCCTGAAATTACGATCAACGCATGATAAGAGTAGGATGACAGTGTCACATTTTGTTAAATTTATTATTATTAAATACATTGATTCAACTGTTCATGTATATTCCAATTCTCTAAATTATATAAAAATATTTTTATATTTAATAAATTAAAATAAAATTTTAAATATATTACAATAACTTGTAATAAATTGAAACTTACTAAACAGGGTCACTTAATATTTAAGTATTTGAGCTAACTCGTTACATAAACTGGACATTGAATTATCGAAACATGAGTTCCAACACTACAAACTACATGCGATTACTGTCTTTAACGAAACAGTTAACCTCTTAAGTGAACCAAGGTCGTCACTTGGACGCCCTCTCTCTCTTCCACACTATGCAAACCTCGCCGTCGCTCACTCTCGACCCTTTCGTCTTTCCCCTCGTTCTCAAATCATGCTCCGCTATCCACCGCCCTCGACTCGGCTCCACCGTTCACGCTCACGCCACCAAGTCATCTCTCCTCTCCAACCAATTCGTCGCTTGCGCTCTTATCTACTTTTATGGCAAATGCTTCTCCATCCTTTGGCACGCAAGTTGTTCGACGAAACCCCGTTTCTTGGAGTTCCATGATTTCTCTCTACGCGCGCTCCGGAGACATGGAGGTGGCATTGGAATTGTTTCGGTCTATGGATGTTGAGCCGAACGAGTCGACGTTTAATGCCATCATAGCAGGTTTGAATGAATTGGAAGATGGGTCTTTTAAGGCTATTGAATTTTATAGAAGGATGCAGAAAATGGGGTTGAGGCCGAATATGATTACCCTTCTTGCTTTATTACCTGCTTGCGTTGGCGTAGCTGCATTGAGTTTGATTAAAGGAATTCATGGCTATGCTTTTCGAAACAACATAGAACCTCACCCGCAGTTCAGAAGTGGGTTTAGTGGAAGCTTACGGGCGATGTGGAAGTCTTGTTAATGCACGGAATGTATTCCGATGTATAAGAGAAAGAGATGTAGTGGCTTGGA